TCAGTTTGTTCCATGATTCGATGTCTCTGGATCTATTTGTTCATCACTTTACTTTATTTATTATATTTCACATATGAGTGAGATTGTGTGATATTTATCTTTATCTGATTGGTTTATTTTGCTTAGCATAGTGCTCTTCAGGTCCATCCATGTTGTTGCAAATGGTAAGAGTTCCTTCTTTTTTACCTCCGCATAGAATTTCATTGTGTAAATGTACAACAGCATTTTTTATCATTGATTTGCTGATAGGCACTTGGGCTGTTTCCAAATCTTAGCTATTGTAAATTGCACTGCTATGAACTTAGGGGTGCATATCAGAGCTGTCTTCTTGAACCTGAGAATCCTTTGCAGCTCCTGTCAACTAATGTAAGCAGTGCCCTCTTCAGATCAAATAAGTAATTACTGGGGAAATTTCTATAATTGACTCTTCTACACAGAAAAAAAAAAAATGTTTTTAATCCAGAAATCTGTTCAGAAAGTTATCTGTTTATATGAGTTTCTGATTCCTATTTCCACTTAATGAAGAGACCTTGATTATTTATTTATTACAAATTTTTATTGAGTTTATTGGGGTGACATTGGTTAATGAAATTATATAGTTTTCAGGTGTACAATTCTATAGTACAACATCCGTATATTTTATTTTGTATTCACCACTCCAAGTCAAGTCTCCCTCCATCACCATTTATCCCTCCTTTTTCCTCCTCTACCTCATCCCACCCCTTTCTTTCTGGTAATCACCAAATTGTTGCCTGTGTCTATAAGTTCTCCCTTCCTGCCTCCTTTCCTCCTTCCCTCTCTCCCTCCCTCCCTCCTTCCCTCCCTTTCTCCATTCTTTCTTTTCTTTTCTTTTTTCTTTTCTCTCTCTTTCTTTCTTTCTTCCTTTCTTTCTTTCTTTCTTTCTTTCTTTCTTTCTTTCTTTCTTTCTTTCTTTCTTTCTTTCTTGCTTGCATGCTTGCTTGCTTTCTTGCTTTCTTGCTTTCTTGCTTTCTTTCTTTTTTTATCCCTTCACTTTTTTTTTTCACCCAGCTCCACCAAATCTTCTCTTTTCTAATAGTGGACAGTTTGTTTTCTTTATGTATGAACCTGTTTCTATTTTGTTTGTTTATTTTGTTCATTAGATTGCATATATAAGTGAAATCACATGCTATTTGTATTTCTCTGACTGTGTTATTTTACTTAGCATAATATTCTTCAGATCCATCCTTGCTGTCACAAAAGGTAAGATCCCCCACCACTTTCTTTTTCTTACAGATCAGTAGTATTCTATTGTTTGCCCCACAAATAAGGACTCAGGTGAAGGTAATTTATTTAGGGAGAGATCTTAGGAAACATGAGTGAGAAAGTATGTAGGGCAAGGTTGGGGCTTGATTCTGCCAAGATCTCCCAAGAAGAACTTAGGGTCCCTTAGGCTTGTCAGCTGGAAATCAGGAAGCTAGTGCATTTAATATATTGGTCCTCTTTCATTATTGGGTGGTGCTTGCCAGGAGAGCTGGTAATTCCCCTGTCCTTTCAGGCTGTGCTTGCCTATGGCCTGAGTAAGCTCTTGAAGAGTCAGAGAAAGCCTTGGGGTAGAAAGTAAAAATTGTTCAGTGCATGCTTAATGTTGGATGTTACTAGTTTGAATGAGTCTGAGTATCTACAGAATTGTCTACCACAGCCATTAATAAAATCAGAGCTAGACGTTTGATTGAGGTGCATGCTTTTCACTGTATTACTGAGTTTTCAAGGTTTTGGCTGGGTGCTATTTATTTAAAACACTTAATACAGGATGGTTTTAAAAAAATTGCAGCCAGCCAAAACCTGGAGAATTCAGTTTAAACATTTAATTACTGCTTCTGGAGAACAGCATTTTAATCACTAAGTGTGTTGCCCCTGAGCAGCTTCTTAGAGGAGCCTTTGACATGTGTGTTGGGCCCCACTTCTTTATCAGGTAGCAAGGCTGTAATTGATAGTCATCTTCTCCCTCTTCTGCCACACTCTCCGGAATTCTTGGATAGCACTTCAGTCAACCTAGATTGCTTGCCTGGTGGGGTGACTGAAGGTCACAATTCTTAATCACTCTGCCCTTTTTAGACCTTGTATCAATAATTGCCACATTTTGTTTTTATTGGGCATGGAAATGCCCAATATGAAACACTGAAATTCCAGATGTATTCCTCCTTGCCCTTAATGTGTCACAACAACCTGCTGCTTCATGACTATGAGGGTCAGCTACCCCTCCAAGTCTGATAACCCATTTCTCTGTCTGCTGGACCATTGGCACATAGAATTCAAAGTGACCTAGATGATGGTCATAACTAGTTTCGGTGGGACCCTTGCTGAATTCCCTGGTGGAAACAGTCTTCTTCTGGGAACCAGACCTCTAATCCAATAGAACCTAACGTTGAGGGAAAGAGAACAATAAATTCTGGAATGGGTTATAGGAGAGATGTGAGAAGAGTCTATTCCATACCCATTTCTTAGTTTCTACACTTGTGTGTATTAGCTAGGATGCTAAAAGTATCCAAATATCAGCCATTAGTATAATAAATTTTACTTCTTCTGGAGAATAGCATTGTAGCCACTAATGTTGGCCCTGAGTGGTTCCTTAGCTGAGCCTTTAACAGGCCATTCTATCATTTCCTCTGGATCATCTAACCTCTGTATCATGGACTTAGGTCATCTTTCAAGTTCTTGGATGGAATTGTGGATTCCCTCTAATTTTTGCCTCCACTGTCACATTTATAGTATTTTAAATTGGGTACTTTGTTCTGTGGAGATTCTGTGTTAGATATGGATGAGAAAATAAGAGAAAATTGTAAAAAAGTTTAAAAAATCTTCAAGTAACAAGATGGAAAAGTTTAAGATTCTTGTAGGCATCTGCTCCCAGGCAAATTTTAAAAATTTTCTGGATGAAGGAAATGCTTAGGAAGACTGATCTGTCACATATATCACACAGAGCTATGAAGGTTACATGTGATAATATGTATGAGAACTCTTGGTAAAATTGGAAAGCACTACATATGCCATTATTTTTATTGTAATTTTAAGGACTCCAGCTTGCAGGCACCCATCTCTCTGTGTTTCTGATATTCAGATATAAGGAGTTTTAATTCCCAAGAAAAGACAATAATTTCTATGTTCCTATTAAGCACCCCTTGACACAGGCACTGAGGCCAGAGGTTTCTGTAAGCCTCTCCCTGTCACTCATCTCACTGTGCCTCACTGAGAGCACAGAAGTACACTGCAGCATCCTCCAGCTGGCAGTCTGAGATCCTGAGGCTGAAGTTTTTGGTTGTTTTCTGGAAGTTCACGGAGAAGCGATTATCTGTTGCATTCTGTTGCTTAAAAGATTCTTGGCGGATAATGAAAACCATCTCCCCACTGGGAGGTTGTTTGTACCAGAACAAATAATACTCAGTCGAACTAGTCTCATATGTGCAGGGCAGGGTCACAGGCTCTCCCTCCTGCACAGACGTTTCTTGTTGAGGCTGAATTACCTTCTGGGCCAGGCTGGATCCTGTGGGAAAGAGGACAGAAAGGACTGCACTGGGGGATGGCACCAGAGAGATAAAGCAGGCAAACTCCCAGCTGGCTCCCATACCCACCCACCTTTCCTCTTCTTCATCCAAACTTCAGGCAAAATTCATCACTGCTTTTGCTTCCAATAGCTGCTATAAATGAGGAGGTAATATCCCTGTGTTTTTAATCTTTTTTCCTACTTTCTAACCCTACTGGATACTTGGAAAAGCAAATATGTTGCCTTACCAAGGCAAGTGGAGACCACAAATGCCCACAGCACACCCCGGCACACCATGCTGCCAGCTCTCCTCTTCAGGGTGAAAGTCTCTTGTTCTGATCTGAAACTTGGGTACCAGCTGTTCTCGGTGACATCACTGTCAGAACAGGAAATGGTATGTCAGGTGGGCCGTTGATTATGTTTTGCTTTAAAATGTTTATCAATGCCTGTTTTCTTTTACTTCAGAGAACAAAAGTTTGGCTATTACTCCAAAGAAAAAAAGATGTGAGGACTGTAATTTAGTAAATAGTTTTTGTAAAAATGTGATCTTGGAGTGGCGAATAGTATAGGTGAGGAAAATGGTATAGTCAAAACTAATGTAATGACTTCAGTTTTCTCTGTAATCTTTCTTTTTCTTTCTTCTCTCCACTGTTCCTTCTTCCCTCCATTTCTCCATCCCCCCTTTCTTCCTCTTTCACTCCCTCCCTGCCTTCTCTTCTCTCTCTCTCTCCCTATTTCCTTTCTCCCTTTTGTAGTAAAATTAATATCATAATGACCTCTGCATTGCTATAAAACAGGTTTTGATTATACTATTATTCTTTGACCAATTCTTTATTTTAATTATTTCTTAAAACTTCAACCCTATTTAATAAAAGATAAACCTGCAAATTTTCTGCACCTTTGCTTTGCCCACAAGCCATGCCCACCACAATGCCAACCAGCCAATTAGGAGAGAGTATGAAAATTAGCCCAACTAAGATGGTGATTAATTTGCATATCCAGGTACAGAGCAAAGACTGAAGACAGTGTACAAGGAAGCCAAGTGCTGCAGAAGGAAGTGAAGCTGCAGAGACACAAGCAAATGGGGTGGTGGAGAAGGGAGGGAAGCACGTTGGGCAGCGGATATCATCGCAGGAAGCTCTGTTGTAGGAATCTTCTTGCAACTGGCCTCTAGTCCTATATAATAAAAGGCAAATATGCAAATTGTCCCCTTCACCGGCAGTTCAACAGGAAGTTCTAGCATGGGGTGGGCCCCCTGGCCAATTACCAGCAACCCCTTCCATGGTTGGCATCACCCCTAATTGGCTGGCTTGAACTCAACTATGCATGAATTCATATCATGGGCCTCTAGTATAATGATAAAGAAAATAGCAGAATAAGAAACAAAACAAGATGGCAGTGTAGATAAACACCTAAATTGCTGGCTTGCACAACAATTTCAAAACTACAACTAAGAGTCAAAACGTCCAGCACCTAGAACCACAGGAAAGCTGCCTTAGTGGAAGTTCTACAACTAGAAGGAAAGACTAAAGAGCACTGAGATGTGCACAGGTGCTGAAAAGCTGAGTTACTGAGGCACATGAATTGGGCTGGCAGCAAGCGACTGAGTGCACTGCTTTTTTTTCAACCCAAAGGGAGACAAGCTCCCAATTACGCCGAACTCCAGTTTCTGAGAAGAAACTGGGGACCCAACTCCTATGGGGAGAAGCTGGACTCTCTGCCATCAGGTCAGAAAGTGAGGGTGGCACATGACCTCACTTATTTATGGATGATAAAGAACATTATAAACTGAAGAACCAAAAGATAGATATAGAGACAGTAAAACAACAAGCAGACTGTCAAATTACAGTGGGGAGGTTGGGGAGATCTGGGGGAGATAAGAGTTCAACCAAGGACTTGTATACATGCATATAAGTACAACGAATGGACACAAAATTCTGGGGAGGGAGGGTATAAATGGGAGGGGGGGCATTGGTATATGTACAAAAATAATAATTTAATAAAAAATATGTTATTAAAAAAAAGAAAGTGAGGGTGGCTCTCTTGCAAAAGTGTGTGCAGTAATCATTATTTACTGCGCTGGGGCGAGGGCTTTGGGGACTTGGAAATGTGGAGATGCAGAGATGGCTGACTGGCAGCTATCACTGTTTGCCACACCCTAGTCTAGTGAAGCCCTGAAACCCCACCCCGCACAATTTACAAACACATCCAAGCTCCATGCTGTGGCTTTTGCATATAATTGGCCTGCCCTATCTCAGCTTAACCTAACAAACTATAGCTCTGCTCAGACAGTTCCAAAACCTTCAAACCCCAAGCAAAGAGGAGAAAACTGTAGTTCTTGCTATAACTCCTGCTGGGTGGCCTCAGACAGTAGTTGACATACACCCCATTGGAGATCCAGAAGCTAGTGTATCTGGTGGTCAGTGTGAGAGGACATCAGATTTCAACTACTCACAACCATAAGGGACACATTCAAGAGACATACTCAGTGAGCATAAAAGCTCCACTGAAACAAGTCCTGCTCCATAAGAGTGTCTCCAGCACAACAATTCTTTTGTTATAGACACAGCGGGTCCTCACAACCAATTGGCCTGGAGGTCAATTCCTCCCAGTGATACCAACAACAATCAAGACTTAACTACAACAAGGCTGTACACACAGTCCACAAAGGGGTGCACCAACAGTGTCCACCTCAGGTAACTGGGAGGCTGAGCCTCTGGGCCATATGGGACATGTAACACACAAAGCCACCCTACCAACTCAGGGGTGCAGCAAAAATTCAAGACAAAGAAACAGAGAAAAACAAACAACTGGCTATAGAGTTAAAAATCATGGTTATAAGGTTTTTCAAGAATTTCCTAGAAAAAGCCGATAATTTTAGCAAGACCATCAAGGATATGAAAAAGGATCAACTAGAAATTAAACATACACTGAAATAAAAAAATATACAAAGACACAACAGTAGACTAGAACACATGAATCAAGTTAAAGATTTGAAAAACAAAGAAGCAAAAAATCAGGACTTGTTTCAACCAGGAAAGCAAAAATAAAAAGGAATCCAAAAAGTTGAAGATAGTATAAGAAGCCTCTGAGACAACTTCAAGCATACCAACATCAGAATTATGAGGGTTCCAGAAGAAGAGAGAGAACAAGATACTGAAAACCTATTTGAAGAAATAATGACTGAAAACTTCCCTCAACTGGTGAAAGAATTTGACTTACAAGTCCAGGAAGCTCATAGAACCCCAAACAAAAGGAATCCAAAGAGGACCACACCAAGACACATTATAATTAAAATGCCAAGGGGAAAAGATAAAAAGAGAATATTAAAAGCAGTAAGAGAAAAACAGTTATTGATAATTACCTACAAGGGAGCGGGCACCCATATGAATATCAGCTGATTTCTTGACAAAACCATGCAGGCCAGAAGGGAGTGGCAAGAAATATTGATGAATAGCTAGCACCTAAAACCAAGATTACTCTACCCAACAAAGTTATCATTCAGAATTGAAGGGAAGATAAAGAGCTTTACAGATAAGAAAAAGCTAAAGGAATTCATCACCACCAAACCAGTATTATATGAAATGCTGAAAGGTATTCTTTAAGAAGAGGAAGAAGACAAAAAAATTAAAGATAAAAATTATGAGCAACAAATACATGTCTATCAACAAGTGAATCTAAAAATAAAGTGAATTAAAAAACTGAGGAACAGAATAAACTGGTGAATATAATAGAATCAGGGGCATAGAATGGGAGGGGATTGATAATTCTTGGGGGGAAAGGGGGGTATGGGTATGGGAAGAGACTGGACAAAAATTGTACACCTATGGATGAGGACAGTGGGGAGGAGGTAAGAGTAGAGGGTGGAGTGAGAACCAGGTGGAGGGGAGCTATGGGGGGGGGGGGAGGGAGAAACAATTGTCATAATCTGAACAATAAAGATTTATTAAATTAAAAAATAAAGGAATATAGAGATAGAGACTAGTTCTCAGACTCTTCTCAGTCCCAATGACATAAATTCTACTATTACACATCTGGCTACCAGATCAGAAATGCTGGCTCCCAGAAGTTCCTCTGTGCCTTGGCCTTCCCAAACACATGAAGGATTTGATTCCAGAGTCTAGAAATCTGACCTAGATTTTTCAGAATTGTTCCAGTTCTTTTGTATGTATTAGCAGTTTCTTGTAAATTAAATTAAATTAAATTAAATTGAATTAAATTAAATTTTATATTTTCCATCACCATTTATTTCCTCTATGATGGCTCCCACCTTCCCTACTGCCCTCACAAGATCATGCCCAGTTCTTTCTCTTTTTGTTTAATTCTTCCCCTCCCAACACTCCCACCGCACTCCACCCACACCCCACCAGAGCTGTCTTCTTTTTTTTTTTTTAATTTCTCTTTATTGTTGAAAGTGTTCTAGATGTCCTCTTTGTTTCTTAGTTGTTGTTTTTCCCATTGACCCCCTTCTCCCCACACCTGTCCCTCCGAAGCCTTCACCACTCTATGATCTACATCCATGAACTATGTACATCCTATATAATAAAGAGGTAATATGCAAATAGACCACTACTCCAACACACAAGATGGCTGTCCCCATGTGGTCAAATATGGCCCCCTCCCCCCCTTGTGAACACAAGATGGCCACCACAAGATGGCCAGCAGTGGAGGGCAGTTGTGGGCAATCAAGCCAGCAGGGGAGGGCAGTTGGGGGTGATCAGGCCTGTAGGGGAGGGTTGTTAGTGGTGATCAGGTCAGCAGGGGAGAATAATTAGTGTCAATCAGGCCAGCAGGGGAGCAGTTAGGCATTGATCATGCTGGCAGGAGAATGGTTAGGTGGTGATCAAGTTGGCAGGCAGAGATGGTAAGGGAAAATCAGGCAGGCAGGCAGGTGAGCAGTTGGGAGCCACCAGTCCTAGACTGTGAGAGGGATGTCTGACTGCCTTCAAAGGGTCTCAGATTGGAAAGAGTGCAGGCTGGCTAAGAGATACCCCAGCCCCAAATGAATTTCATGTACCAGGTCTGTATTATGCATAAAAGTTCCTTGGTTAAACTTTTTCCCTTTACCCACTATCCCCGTCCCCCTTCCCTTTGACATTCACTAGTCTGTTCCATGGTTTGATGTCTGTGGATATATTTTGTTCATTAGATTTTACATATGAGTGAAATCATGTGATATTTATCTTTCTCTGACTGGTTTATTTTGTTTAGCATAATGCTCTCCAGGTCCATACATGCTGTTGCAAATGGTAAGAGTTCCTTCTTTTTTACCCCCACATAGTATTCCATTGTGTAAATGTATAACAGCATTTTTTATCCACTCATTTGCTGATAGGCACTTGGGCTGTTTCCAAATCTTAGCTATTGTAAATTGCACTGCTATGAACATAGGGGTGCATATCAGAGCTGTCTTCTTGAACCTGAGAATCCTTTGCAGCTCCTGTCAACTAATGCAAGCAGTGCCCTCTTCAGATCAAATAAGTAATTACTGGGGAAATTTCTATAATTGACTCTTCTACACAGAAAAAAAAAAAAAATGTTTTAATCCAGAAATCTGTTCAGAAAGTTATCTGTTTATATGAGTTTCTGATTCCTATTTCCACTTAATGAAGAGACCTTGATTATTTATTTATTACAAATTTTTATTGAGTTTATTGGGGTGACATTGGTTAATGAAATTATATAGTTTTCAGGTGTACAATTTTATAGTACAACATCCGTATATTGTATTTTATGTTCACCACTCCAAGTCAAGTCTCCTTCCATCACCATTTATCCCTCTTTTTCCTTCCTCTACCTCCTCCCACCCCTTTCTTTCTGGTAATCACCAAATTGTTGTCTGTGTCTATAACTTCTCCTACCCTCTTTCCTTCCCTCCCTCCCTGCCTTCTTTTCTTTTCTTTTCTTTTCTTTTCTTTTCTTTTCTTTTCTTTTCTTTTCTTTTCTTTTCTTTTCTTTTCTTTCTTTTCTTTTCTTTTATTCTCTCTCTCTCTCTCTCTCTCTCTCTCTCTCTCTCTCTCTCTCTCTCTCTCTCTTCACTTTTCTTTCTTCCTTCCTTTCTCTCTTCACTTTTCTTCTCCAGCTCCACCAAATCTTCTCTTCTCTAATAGCGTACAGTTTGTTTTCTTTAGTTTGTTTTCTTTAGGTATGAACCTGTTTCTATTTTGTTTGTTTATTTTGCCCATTAGATTGCATATATAAGTGAAATCACATGCTATTTGTAGTTCTCTGACTGTGTTATTTTACTTAGCATAATATTCTCTAGATCCATTCTTGCTGTCACAAAAGGTAAGATTCCCCCCCACATTTTTTTTTTTTTTTACATTTGAGTAGTATTTTATTGTTTCCCCCAAATAAACCCTGAAATAAGGACTCAGGTGAAGGTAATTTATTTAGGGAGTGATATTAGGAAGCATGAGTGAGAAAGTATGTAGGGCAAGGTTGGGGCTTGATTCTGCCAGGATCTCCCAAGAAGAGCTTAGGGTCCCTTAGGATTGTTAGCTGGAAATCAGGAAGCTAGTGCATTTAATTTATTGGTCCTCTTTCATCACTGGTTGGTGCTTGCCAGGAGGGCTGGTAATTCCCCTGTCCTTTCAGGCTGTGCTTGCCTGTGGCCTGAGTGAGCTCTTAAAGAGTCAGAGAAAGCCTTGGGGTAGAAAGTAAAAATTGTTCAGTGCATGCTTAATGTTGGATGTTACAGTTTGAATGAGTCTGAGTATCCACAGACTTGTCTACCACAGCCATTAATAAAATTAGAGCGAGACATTTGAATGGGGCAACAAGTCACACATTCACTTTGCACTATTGAAATGCATGCTTATCACTATATTACTGAATTTTCAAGGTTTTGGCTGGGTGCTATTTATTTAAAACACTTAATACAGGATGGTTTTAAAAAAATTGCAGCCAGCCAAAACCTGGAGAATTCAGTTTAAACATTTAATTACTGCTTCTGGAGAACAGCATTTTAATCACTAAGTGTGTTGCCCCTGAGCAGCTTCTTAGAGGAGCCTTTGACATGAGTGTTGGGCCCTACTTCTTTATCAGGTAGCAAGGCTGTAATTGATAGTCATCTTCTCCCTCTTCTTCCACACTCTCCAGATTTCCTTGCATAGCTCTTCAGTCAACCTAGATTGCTTGCCTGGTGCGGTGACTGAAGGTCAAAGTTCTTAATCACTCTGCCCTTTTATAGATCTTGTATCAATAATTGCCACATGTTGTTTTTATTGGACATGGAAATGCCCAATATGAAACACTGCAATTCCGGATATATTCCTTCTTGCCCTTGATGTGTCACAACAACCTGCTGCTTCATGACTATGAGGGTCAGCTACCCCTCCAAGTCTGATAACCATTGTCTTTGTCTGCTGGACCATTGGCACATGGAGTTCAAAGTGACCTAGATGATGGTCATAACTAGTTTCAGTGGGACCCTTGCTGAATTCCCTGGTGGAAACAGTCTTCCTCTGGGAACCAGACCTCTAATCCAATAGAACCTAACGTTGAGGGAAAGAGAACAATAAATTCTGGAATGGGGTATAGGAGAGATGTGAGAAGAGTCTATTCCACACCCATTTCTTAGTTTCTACACTTGTGTATATTAGCTAGGATGCTAAAAGTATCTATTCATATATCAGCCATTAATATAACAAATTTTATTTCTTCTGGAGAATAGCATTGTAGCCACTAATGTTGGCCCTGAGTGGGTCCTTTGCTGAGCCTTTAACAGGCCATTCTATCATTTCCTCTGGATCATCTGACCTCTGTATCATGGACATAGGTCATCTTTCAGGTTCTTGGATGGACTAGTGGATACCCTCCCAAGGTATGCTGCCACTGTCTCATTTTCTGTATTTTAAATTGGGTACTTTGTTCTGTGGAGATTCTGTGTTAGTCATGGATGGGAAAATAAGAGAAAAGTGAAAAAAAAAACATTTTATAAAGGTTCAAGTAACAAGATGGAAAAGTTTAAGATTCTTGTAGGTATGTACTCCCAGGCAAATTATAAAATTTTTCTGGATGAAGGAAATGCTTAGGAAGTCTGATCTGTCACATATATCACACAGAGCTATGAGGGTTACATGTGATAATATGTATGAGGACTCTTGGTAAAATTGGAAGGCACTACATATGCCATTATTTTTATTGTAATTTTAAGGACTCTAGCTTGCAGACATCCATCTTTCTGTGTTTCTGATATTCAGATATAAGGAATTTTAATTCCCAAGAAAAGACAATAATTTCTATGTTCCTATTAAGCACCCCTTGACACAGGCACTGAGGCCAGAGGTTTCTGTAAGCCTCTCCCTGTCACTCATCTCACTGTGCCTCACTGAGAGCACAGAAGTACACTGCAGCATCCTCCAGCTGGCAGTCTGAGATCCTGAGGCTGAAGTTTTTGGTTGCTTTCTGGAAGTTCACGGAGAAGTGATTATCTGTTGCATTCTGTTGCTTCAAAGATTCTTGGCGGATAATGAAAACCATCTCCCCGCTGGGAGGCTGTTTGTACCAGAACAAATAATAATTACTTTCACTTGTATCATATGTGCAGGCCAGGGTCACAGGCTCTGCCTCCTGCACAGACGTTTCTTGTTGAGGCTGAGTGACCTTCTGGGCCAGGCTGGATCCTGTGGGAAAGAGGACAGAAAGGACTGCACTGGGGGATGGCACCAGAGAGATAAAGCAGGCAGACTCCCAGCTGGCTCCCATACCCACCCACCTTTCCTCTTCTTGATCCAAACCCCAGGCAGAACATATATCACTTTTGGATCCCTTAGCTGGGCTCTGTGAGACAATGCAGGTTCTGTGCTCTTAATCCTCTCTTGTTTTAGAGCTGCATTAGGTAACATTATAAATAAATAAAGACTTACAGCTTCCTTACCAAGACAGGTAGAGACCATGACTGCCCATAGCAAGGTAGCAAGCGTCATGCTGGCAGTTCTCCCTGCAGGCTGAGGAGTCTCTTTCTCTGATTTAGATTCTTCTCTGTGCTTGGTGACAGGAAATGGTATCATAGGTAGGAGGAGTGTCATAGTGAGGAGTCTCTCCGATACATTTTGGTCTCTCTTTCAGAAAATAGGCCTTGCTTATAATTTTAATGAAAGTGAGACTTGTTTTCAGAGTTCTTTTATTCTAGAATGAAAATAGAGAGGAAAGAATGCTGACATTTATTTCTGATATGACCTAGTTTTGAAGAGGAGGCTGGACCTGGAATGGCGAGCAGAAGTGGCAGGTTTCATTTGGAACAATGGCGAACTCTGAAATTTTTGTTTTCTTCTTTTGAAAATAAAAATGGCAAAGCAATTATGGTTAATATGAACAATTGATTACGGATAATAAGAATGCACTTGGTATATTATATATTCAATTTTTACAATTTCTTAAAATAAAGAGAAAAAAGATACATGTTTTGACTAAAAAGAGCACTGACAAACTTGGAAGCTGTTCATATCATGTCTAATTATGTCTACTTTTCCATAGCTACTTTAAAAAATTAGTCCTTCTTTGTGCTGTATCAAGTTCCTCTGAAGTAACTTTTGCAAGTGTTCTCATCAGCACTAAATAGCCTCAATCAACTCATTGTAAGAGTTGTTCTCACTACACATTTCATTTTGAGAAAAGATTGTGAACAAAAAACTTTTAAACAAAATGAATGTACTATGATTCATTAGATTTCCCATTTCCAGAGGAGTGACAGAGATGCATACTTAATTTCAGAGTTGGAGTCCCTGAGCAGCATGGTTCTCCATAACCAAGTGGTAAGGGGCTGAACCTCTCACCTCAGAGAGGTGCAGGGAGTTGTGAGAATTGGGAACAGCCTCGAATGAAGATGTTAGAATCTCTTGTGCTCCCAAACCCAGTTTGGTAACAATGGGAGAAGGGGCAACAATTTCTTCTAGATCATCTCCATCCTTGTCTGATGATTTGAATTTCTGAAAGTCAGCTTCAAAATGAGGATTTGTGTTAACAGTTTGTAAAAACATTGGTAGGAAGTGATTCAGGGAAGGGAAGGAAGATGATATAGGGTGTTGTCCATCAAGTGAGTTATTACTATGGGCAATTGGAGCTTAATCCAGCTGGGAAAGGCTGGGATTCAGGATAGCATACCCTTTAGAGTTATCTGAAATAAAGCATGAAGGAGCTGGAATAATCCATAAACTCACTGCCATCGCTGACTGGGGGCTGCCTAGGAACTCAGCACCGTGTTGAAGAACAGCTCTTCAACTTCTCCGAGTGCTATCTCATGCAGGTGCTTTGGCTGGGCCTTCGAGTTGTTATTCCAATGTTCTCCTAGGCTAGTGGTTTGTGGATAACGCTCTTTTTAGTAGGATCATTATATCCAGCGGTCAAGTGTCCATTGTCACACCTCCTTGGTATAACATGGGTCTGTTGTTGCAGAGGGATGAGAAATCCTTTAAAGATCAGTTAGACACTTTGAGCCCTCAGTTTTGTGCTGTTATGTGTGGCATTATGGAAGGGAAGGCAACTCCTACCCAGATGTGTGTATGAATCCAAATTTAAATAAAAGATTTCTGTCACCTCCAGCATGGAAGTGGTTTAATGTAATCAACTTGCCAACCAGTGGCTGGTGATTTCCTTCAGAAGTGATTCCATATTGAAGGCTCACTGTGGTGTCTTCTGCTAACAGGATGGCTGTTTGGCAGCAGAAGTAGCTAAATCTATCTGAATTGTTGAGATAAAACCATCATTCTGGGCTATGGAGAACCTCTATCCTGTCACCTTGGCTAATCTGTTCATTGGTCTATTTTTCAAGCACTGAAGTGGACAGACACTGGTGGCATCCTCTGTTTGGATTATGTTGCTTCCTCTGTAGTGGGTGTGGATATCCTATCTAATAAAGAGGGAATATGCTAATTGACCATCACACCCTCACAAAGATGGTAGCACCCACAGCCACAAGATGCTCAGCCCTACCAGGGAGGCAGACACGCAGTATGTCCAGGCCTGCCCCCAGGTGGGTCTGGCTGCTCCATGAGCCTGCCTCTGGGGTCCCCTAGTCCTCTCAGCCCCTCAGCCACCCAGGACCAGCCCGAAGCACAGGCAAGCCTCGTATGTTGACTGCCCAGCTGCCCAAGGCTGCCAGAGACTCAGGTAACCAGGGTCACTGAGGCTTGTGCTGCCAGCAGTGGCAGCAGCAGGGGTGTGATGGGGCATTGCCTTTCCCTGGTTGCTGAGTCACCTCCTGCCCCTGAGGGCTCCTGGACTGTGAGAGGGGGTAGGCTGAGCTGAAGAACCCTCCCTCCAGTGCATGAATTTTCATGCAGTGGGCCTCTAGTAAGAGATAATGATTTCAACTATTTGTGCCTATACACACTGCTTCTTCAGTTCATCGTCACTCCTTAATGTGACTCATCTTCCTCCCATTCCACCGGCTCAGGAGTCTGACCTTAGAAAAGAGCAGGATTCTGAGCACTTTTCAAAGACCCACTGTTCATAACCTCTGGTCACACCCCTTTGATTCTTCCCCTGCCGGCTGGTTGACCTTTCCCCTCTAAAGGAGAAACCAGATTTCCCATCACATTGTGTTCTCTTTTTATGATGTCCTTTATGAACTTTATATTACAAGTTTCCCTCAGGTTTTGCACTTGATCTTCTAAGCCAGTCTTTTTGGGATGTCAAAATATATTTCCTTTCATTTCTGTAGTTGATGACCATAGCTTTACAGATACTATATTTCCAGTATATTTGTAAAAGTCTACAAAGGATCTCAATTTGGACAAAAGAGCAAGAATTTGACTAATTTTGCCGAAACCGGTTTGGCTCAATGGATAGCACGTTGGCTTGGGGACTGAAGGGTCCCAGGTTCGATTCCGGTCAAGGGTATGTACCTTGGTTGCAGGCATATCCCCAGTGGGGGTGTGCAAGAGGCAGCTGATCGATGACTCTCTCTCATCGATGTTTCTAACTCTCTCTCTCTCTCTCCCTTCCTCTCTGTACAAAATCAATAAAATATATATTTAAAAAAAAAGAATTTGACTAATTTTAACTGAGTAAGGACTTCACACTGAGAAACAAAATACTGTATATCACATGGTATTTGACATCACTGTCCTTCTACACATGGTCTTCAAATGAAAAACATTTTATTATATGCAATAAAAAGTGCCTCATGTTTCCCTTTACTTAGAGCAAAGTTAAAGTCAGTGTCCTGAAGACCTTAGAGGGAAGGTGCAGGGCTGGGCAGGGTTTAGGTGCAGGGTTCAGGTGCCTGAGCCACACTGTGTGCTCGCTGCACACAGGAACCTGGTTGAATCCTGGAGCGTGGAATCCCTCACATGCAGGGAAAAGTGCTGGCCCTCTGTGTTAAGCCTGACAGTGAATTTTCTGCTGATCTTTTCTTTCACATTTAACCGCATTTGTATCAGGGAGTTGAGTCCTTTCCCGGGATCTTGCCTAAACCATTGGAAGAAATCAAAATTGCTGTTTGTATAACTACAATTCATCGTGAAGCTCTCTCCTTCCTGGACTTTCAGGAAAGCTGGGCTCTGTTCCACTGGCGGTTGTTGGTTTGACCCTGTTTAGGAAGAGTGAAGAGATTTTTATACAAAAGAAACTGTTTTTTTTTTTCCTTAGTTGTTTTCTGTTCCTTAGAATAAACCCCCGTTTGTCCCTGAGATCCCTCTAGATTTCATTCTCAGAGGTGCCCCATTTCCCTCGCTTGGCTCTGCTGTTCCCCCTCACACTGTCCCTCACTCACAGGTTAGCTGCACACACAGGAGCATCAGGGAAGCTCGCAGGGGAATCTCCATTTTTGCTTCTTCCTGGAGACTGAGGATTCAGTTAGGAGACGTGGAACTGGCCATGTTCAGTGGGCCTATGTCACTGTTCTAGATTCTTCTGTTTCTCTTGGGTGGAAACCCCTGGTGATCTTCTTACTGTTTTTGCAACCAACCAAAATTTCACTTGTCACATTAAACTCATCTTTGAAAAATACTCTTTCTTGCTGCTCCTCTGCAGAGGTCTAGCTTCCAGCCAGTCATTTATGTCAGTGGAAACACTGCCCCCATGTGGTCTGAACTTTTAAATTAAAGTTTGTTTTTAATTTAATACCACTTAGTACAAAGTAATCATGTTCAATGAAAGGAAATTAGGACATACAGGGGCGGGGCGGGGTGTGGAGGGGAAGAAAACAAAATAGTCTCAAAATGTTCTTCAGGGATAACTATCTGAATATCCTTAACAACTGATATTCCGTTCCTCACTCTCCTCCCGTTTGATGGAAATCTATGTGGGTTCTTTGCCTGTATGACTCTGTATTACATTCTAAGGGGTATAAATAAAAGGTTGAGAGAAGAACTGGTTGTTTCTCTTAACTGGTTATGGTCTACCCTGTTTTGTTATGTTTCTCAATCTGAACAGTTTTAAATTAGTTAAAAGAGTTGACTTTCCCAGAATTCTCTATTATCTATCTATCTATCTATCTATCTATCTATCTATCTATCTAAAAAGCCAGCCACCATAATGGTCATAATGACCATAATGACCGGTAGCTATGACACCCACTGTGTCCAGCAAACTGGCCTGATCAGGGCATGGGGCTTGCTGACCAACCTTGCAGCCCTTCGTCTCTGCTGGCTTGACCCTGATTGGACTCTCCCACCCCAATCAAGAGTGGGGCGGGCTGGCCAAAAGCCCTCTCCCTTCCTCCCCGCCAGCCCTGCCCCCAATCAGCCCACTACACCATGATAGGCCCACTGCTTCTCCTCCACCCCCCACTGGTCCACCCCTGATTACAATCCTCCCCAATAGGGGGCAGGGCTGGCTGGCCAACCTCCCGCCATCTCCTCCTCGCGACAGGCCAGCCCTAATCCGCCCCAATTGGGACTGGGCCAGCAGACCACACCCATGCACAAATTTATGCACTGGACCTCTAGAAAAAATATAAAGAAGGGAGCTATAATATCCTATCGTTTAATATATTCTCAACTTTGAGAGAACAACCTGGTATCTGGCTAACTTT